GGGTGCGTAGCATAGCACTGTATGATTGTGACTACTCTTCTTTGTGAGTTGAATCTTGCTGTCATGATCCTGCAGGAGGAGATTGGTTCTTACTGCTTGAGTCTTTGATGCTGTTGGGGACATCATGATAGCCACTTCAAAACTCAGTGTGCTCGTGGTTGTCGTCTGGGTGACAATATCGGAGTAGATTATTGACTCTGCATTTGACAGTTGCGGGAGTCCACTTCCATTCCACCTGCTTTCACAGATTCTCAGCACTACAGTGCTTTACCTTCTCATCTCTTTGGCAATCTGGGCAGCCTTGCTAGGTTCAAACATGGTGCGGACATTTCATGTCCCCATCTTTACTTTCGCTTTCATCGAGGGAGAGGAGACACATTGGCCAATTGGCTTCCCGAGGGCTTACGCCAACCGGCGCCATTTCGTCTCTCCGATTCCAGCGAGGAATAATTTTGTTTCTATTTTTTATAATTTATCTGTGCTTTGAAGTTTGTAACGGTTGGATTGTTTTTACTGGGTAGGGTTAGTAGCCTTATGCCTGACCTTTCCTCTGTATCTGAACTTAGGATCGGCTAGTAACTAGTGAACTATTTAACTAGGTGAGGTTTGTTGTTAAGAATAGCACATGAAAAACAGTATAGTGATAGTGATGGTATGCTATACTGGCATATAAAATTGTATTAAAGCTTTAGAGTGTGTTATTTTGTTGAATATGAGAATTTTTAGTTCTGTTGAGCTATTACTAAGAGTATGATCCACTTAAATTCCAGTTTAATAAGCTAATGGTGTGAAAAATGTCTGGATGTAAAAAAGAGTTCAGTCATATCCACATGATCCACCTCAAAATTCCAAGTTGCAAACTCTGACGTCACCGTCTGTCTGATTGTTTACACCAGGGTCCCAGTCTCCATTCAAGTCACTTGTTATTATTATTCTTGGTGACTGCGAAACGATTTCAAATGTAGTTAGTGCTCTTCTACTTTCTGCTATCATGATCGCACTCAGTTTCAGTCGACACTTCCATTTCGTCTTTGCAACCACTTTATAAAATGTCTGCTGCAGGATATTCGGCACTTCAGTTTACTGACATGGGTGTCCTACCATCTGAAATGTTCTGTACGTGTCACAGAAGTGTGAGAAATCGCTGATCATTAGTGAAGTATGGTAAAGTTGGCTTCTTGGTGGAAGGAGGGATAAAATAGAAATGATATCACTGGAAATTATATTGATTGTGGAATATAGTTCTGCACTGGAACATTGGGCTGCTCATTTTCCTTTATTGACCAAAGGAAGAGAAACGTGAACTACTTCCGAGGGAATGCGGTACTTAACTACACGTCTGCATGGAAAATTGTACTCCACCCAAAATCTGCAGTTACACACTATAGGGCCTGAGAAGACAGGGAACAACCCCGTGATGTCCTTCACAATGCATTCTTCAGGATCACTCAGTAAAAACATATTCCTTTTAATTTGTACAGTATTAGGGCATGGCTCAGCTTAGGAGTTTTTAGTTAACTCCATTCCATTCCGTAAGTTTTATGGCTGTGAAATAATTGCATGCTATAAGCGAAGTCGATTGCTGAATTATCATAATTTCTATGGATAAAGTGAGTTACTCTTAGAAATTATGGTGCATTGTGAACATGAAATTTGGTTGTATGATAGTGATGATAGAAAACGTCAAAGTTTGTTTCCTACTGTACAATTTCGGGGCTGGGGGGGGGGATTATGTATCTAATCGCTTGGGTGAATTGTGAATACTAGACGCGGCAAATATGTGCAAATCGATCATGTGAAAGGACAGAGTTACAGATGAATAGAAAAATCACATGGTTCAGAAAATTAATACTAGGCACAGATAAAACATTTATGGATCGACTGTCTCCAAATATGCCTGAATTCCAACCATCGTAAATCAGAAAAATGATGGTCCACGGCCTTTAGCAGTGGGTTAACGAGCCAAAATCAATCCAATTAATTCGGATTTGGGTAACTGAGTGGTAATTCGACGGATAGTACCTGCCTTACATGGCGGTCGGGCCTGCTTATCACAATGACCCAACAACCTACGCTAGTGGAACACACACGGCCTATGCTGCGAAGGCAACGGTAATCAAATAGCTGAGACCTCTTCTTGTCTTTCCTCTTTAATGTTCATCTTTCCCAGCCATCTAGTAGAACAGCGAACTGCAGTGAAGTACATCTGAACCTTAATAGACAATCGGGTACCACGGCTGCACCACTGTTGATGTATGTTGGAGGAAGTGAATCGAGCTTTCTGCATTGGTACAGAGATTTTGTCGGTCACTGACTCATCAAATAGAGGACGAGGCACCGAAGTTAGTGCTTTTAAGATAATATGCCAATAAGATCGCTTTCAGAAGTGTTATGTACATTATTGCAGGATTTAGCGAAAGTTGATGACTGGTGTATCATCTACTTTATAGACAGTTTCGTTGATGTCGGTCTGCTTGAGCTGTAGCTCACTAGTATAGGCACCTGTATCTAATCGATGTTTTCGGGGTACGAATCCAGCTGCACTGAAGGGGGTTTCTGCAATGAGTGAGTATCATAAGCCTTCACACAACAGTTGTAGGAAATTCTTTTGGTTTCCCACGAAACTCATTGCACCGTATTACTGTTTTCTACGTTATACAATCGTTTAATTTCGTCCCCTGGTCATATTATCTGCTCTACAGCGTTTCTAAAATCTTCCCAAGGTATCGTTTTGCAATTTCACAGTAGATTAGAGAGAAAATACCGTGGTAAATCATAACGGGCCCCTAGGTGTATAACAAAAGATTAAATGACTGTTGCTAAAATTTTAAGCAGGAACTATAGGTCTTCGCCGAAAAAAAGTAGACTTCCTTGAGTTACGCTTATCCACAAATATTCATCGTAATTCGGGTGAACCAATACTGCAAGAAACTTTATTATATAATCTGTATGATAGTCTCTGGTTTTATAATACTGCAGTAAGATCTGTGTTCCCAGGATGAAGCCTGGTGGTGTAGCTACATATATAGCTGCATATATGAAGCCCGTAAACAAGCTCCACTGCTAAATTCTGACTACTGTGTCATTTGTGTTTTGCCCTGTACATGACACATTACACAAGAAGGCATTTTTACATACGTTTTCAAGAAAGTCCAGCACACTCGCTAACCGTATGACAAAATGCCTTGTCTGAGAAATTTCCCATAGGAAACAAACTGAGACAATTTAGTTGTTGTTTCAGACTACGCTATCACTGACACCACGAGCTACTTTAGATTGTCTTGACACTTGTTGCCTTTGTGAAACAGTCTTCAAGAAGCTCCGAAGATAAAAGTAAAGGCTATATAAGGTGAATAATAAACAGGCATCAAAAAAGTTAAGTCTGATTAAGTTCAAAATAAAACGTCATAATACAGTATAGAAATAGAGGTTTTTGTTGTGCAAGAACACTTCCGATATATGGATACCATTATAAGATTTTACTGTTGGAAATTGGATAATTCATTAGGCTAGTACTGATGTTTATGTTTTAAATCAGTCATTTATACTTTAGTTAGTTGACTTTATCACAACTAATGTTCACAGTCAAATGGATGATTGTTTTTCTGGTTTTTCAAATATTTTCAGATTTCTCAAATCAGTCAACCCATCTCAAAGACTAGGTTCTGATGAAATGTGCGGATGATATATTAGTAGTGTCTCGCATCGTATTATTGTTTGCCAGTCAGACAAAGGTGCTAGCTATGTTTGCCGTGCCTTTTTCGATAACACATCAGCACTTGACTCTGTTCCTAAATCACTCTTGTTAAATAGACTTCTCATCACATACTGAAACTGGCTGGATTTTCATTTTTTCAAAGGGAGTAGTTTACCGTTTACGTCTCAAAAGTAAACAAAACTCGTTTGAAACACTTCACTGATATAACTCTTGAAATATTGATGGTACTACTGCAGAAAATCAATCAGGTGTCACCTAAGAATAAGTATTTCTTTCTTGTTCGCATTATAACTTGTTGGATTCAAAAATCTTAGGGCGCGTTATATTACAGAAACCAAAACTCTGGCATAACTTAGCTTTTAATTTTACAATCCCTGTGTTTCACCTGTTCGCTATTGCTCCCAGTCTCAGTTGTTTAATTACCGTTGCCTTCGTAGCACAGGTCGTGTCAGCAGCGCAGAATTCTGGCAAAGAGTTTCAGACAAAAGATGTAAGTAAGCTGATTGACGATGTAAGCATTCATCGACTCATATAGCTGGTACATGTGCTACGCATGTCTGGCGACCATCCGCTCTGTCGTACAAGTTTAACTGTAGTAAGTTCAAAGTGGAAAGTGGTTAGGGGTGGGCGAACTAAAACATGGTATCATTGCATGAAATGATGGTGTCGGACCGTGTATCGAAATGCTGAATTTGCAGCTGATGTTTGCATGACAACAGAAAACAATCTTTCAGGACTATAAGCGATATTTTTCAGAATCGATCTAAATGGGCCAGATGCATCCATATATCATCTTCGTTTTAGTAGTCATAATGAGTCTTAGTATTGTCTCATTCTTCCTTGCTCTCAGGAGACTATCATTCACCGCTTTTCACAGAGTGCTCATCTTCCCTCTGATGAATTCTTTTTCGATGTGGTGATATTGGATTTGACTATTTGAACCTTTACGTAGAAGTACCAGGTCCTACGTTGATATTATCCATCTATTTACTGAACGATCAAATCTAATGCATACACAAGTTGAGTCTGAAATTCTGCTTACAACTGTATTCGTTTACATCTTCAATTATACTGAAGGATACTAGGTAGTTGAAAGAAGCAGCACACGGATAGCATAGTCCAGACCAACTTCAACGATAATAGCGGTCAATCTATAGTCAACAGAGGTGGTTGAAACCAAGTTATCAAACGAATTTACTAGTAAGTATGTAGACGGTAACGCAAGTCACACACTGAACAAATTTACAATTTAAACGTCAAATGGTAATTTTTATTCACTTACTCCATTAAGGTTGCTTGCAGTCATCTCCTCTGCAGACAGTGTCATAACCTTAGCGGAAATCGATGCAGCCGCAAAGGCAACAGCCGAGGTTGATATCGGGTTGGTTGAAACTGAAGTCAAGCCTTTGTTGGCATTGAGTTCGAACGGGAGAGGCACTCCTTTAGGCGTAATGGCGCGTCCAACACGGAGTTGTTGTCCGGCTAAGTCAAAGCAGTTCATACTTGAAACAGCCGCAATAGCGGCTTCTTCTGATTCGAAATCAATGTAGCCAAAACCCCGATGGCGACCAGGACATTTAGGATCTGGATACAAGCTGATCGAAGAGCGTAGGCAAGAAGTTGCGGAAAATTAACGTCACCAGAATTTCTAACCAGATGGTAGACAGCAACTAATGGCTTGACTATTATAAATTAAAACACGCAGTACGAAAAAATGCTGGAGTGAAAGGTTTTTTCCATTACAGTAAGATGTACACCATAAAGTGTAGGTATACCTGCTTCTGACCATCCATATATACACGACATAATGACTACCTGACAAAAAACCTATCAAACGGCTGAAGATTAACCATTTTACCACAATCTAAGAACTCCGTCGGGTTTCGTAAACAGACGAAGTAGTGTGCTTGGATAAATAAAATAAACTAACTAATACGTTATTCTGCTGCCCAGTAAAGTTGTCAAACGAGTTGGTTTAGCCAGTTTAAGGTTTTAGGAACTGCAAGATCGTTTATTGTTCTTTGAACAACACATCAATGGAAGACATGTACCTAACGAAAAAAATTGCTTAAAACAAAATAAGGCATGACAATGGCATCCCATACGCTTTACTAAGCACAGGGAAATACATAAGTGAAGAGGTACCGCATTTGAGCCACATCAGTACTTCTACACGAAAATACTCAATTAACTCTTGAACATTTTCTCAATGTCGATTTCAAACTAGTCATTGCCTAGTAACTTTATGATTGAAAATGGACGGTGGGATCTGACGTAATATTACAGCTATTCATAAAAAACTAATAGAATGGTGCTAATTCATGTAAAAAAAAAAATCAACCTGTTTTACCAACTCTTTCACACTAAACAGTTTGAACATGCTAAGAAAAATGATGTTAGACAGTACAATTGATAGTAAACAGGTCAGTCCGCGAAGCAGTAAAAGCTTTGTTAATAATAACGAGATAAAAAGAAGTACATAGATTATCTTCCTAGTGAACCACGAAAACAGTAAAATTGTTAGTCATACATATTTAGCTTGCCTTTTTGCACAGTCAGGCCAGCTATATGCTAAGCACATTTAGTTAGATTGATTGGACAGACAAAGAATACTATGGCTAATTAAATATACGGCGTACTAAGACTGAAATGTAATGCAATAATGCGTTGGTAAGTCAAACAGCTTGCACATTAAACGTAATTCGCACTACAATGAGTTAGTGAAATCCAATTTAACAGACTTACAAAAAAGGATAAGAACTTTAAATCACGTAGAAATCTGTTTTAGTACAGATACAGTGTAGATTCAAACTAGACCAATAATTGCCCTTCAATCAATGTCAACGGTTCACGTCAACAAAACACTTCTTAATAAACCTTGGTGCTAAACGGTGAGAGTCAGTGAGGAGAAAACTTCGAATCCACGTTTCCTGCTTTTTGAAACTCACCAGTAAAGCGTATCTTCAACCATGATGAAACTGATGTTTCCTCAGCTATTCGAACCTACATCGCTCAGTATTGAAGCCAAAGACCTTACCACTATCCTATACACGTTGGATTATGTACATGATATCGTCACCAGTGCGTAACCGACTCGTACACTTTTAAATCTCCTAAAACTACCCTGACAATTCCATAGTGGGACTTTAAACTTCTAAAAAACTGCATATCGAATGGGGGTAATACAAAAGAACCGTTAACCTCTAGATACATGGATTGTTTCTGCGACACACGACCCAAGAACGGTTACTTATCCGACTTAATCTGACCGGTGTAGAGAACGTGCATAAAACAGTTGGGTATTCGAAAATTTGATTGCTATGATCCGTTGATTCGGTGGCGTAAAGACAACATTCATTTATAAAAAGAAAGAATACCAGAAGACTACGTAACATACACTGTTCAGGTGTAAGAATTTACAAAAACTAAGGAAGATTGCGATATTAATGGATGTTTTTTTTTAAATTCCCCACCTATGCGCTCATCGGTTGCAAAAAGTTGGGAAAGTTACGTTTCACTAAATCTGACACACCTACTGCACTAAGCAAAATGTTCAGAAACAGTCACACTAGTGCGCCACTTCGGCACCCAATAAAGGAGGCTGAACCAATCAAAAAAGCAACCTGAAGGCATTTTCAAAATCGGTGCCAACGAACTGACAGCGATGATCATTCACAATTTGATTTTGGTAATTACTTCTGGCCAACTGATACGAAGGAAGTCTTACTCGGCGTTCACAGACATCTAACCAACCTTAGACACAGAGATCATACGGTTTTGAGTTACTGCTAGACAGGATAGACGGAGAATCACTGTATTTTGGAGTACCTTCTTGAGTTTCGATCACACGTTAGTCCGAGAAAGTGTCTATAACCTAATGAACGCAATACACTTACTGCTGGAAATGTTTTCTGTGCTTGACGGGGAGACGAAAAATCAAAATGTGCATAAAGGTACGTAACTAGGTCATTACACAAGTATGACAATTTGATTCAGGTTAAGCTTGAAACAAACGATAAACGAAAGAAGCAGCAGCAAAGATACATAAGGAACATAAGAAATTAGAGGTCAAAAAAGGTAACCACAGAAGCTTTGAATTTTTGCCTGTCTTGTCGCTTTCTTTGCTAGCGATTAGGTCTTTTGAGAAAGGATGTGCCTTTATGAGCAGAAATACGCTTAGTAAGGCCATGTATGACTTCATCCAAGTAGTCTTCTTTTCTACTCTGGAGACATTATAACATGCACTCGAACTTACCGAATTCAACTGTTTAGATTACTGAGAAGTATCAACTATCTTCACATCCCCGAAGGCACATACAACTCATACAGTCATTGACATTTATCTCCATCCGCTCCTTATCGTGTAATCTACGCTATTTCCTTGTAATTTCATAAAATTCTTAATCTGCCACAGTCTGGTGACAGTTGAGGCCTTGAGTTTTGATGCATTGTTCGGAAGTTGCTCAGATACACAGATTGGACCAATCAGAAAGACATCTCAAGAGTATCTTCAGAATAATACATCAACCAATCGACAACAGTGATTGTTTTGTGCTCATAGTTACTTGTTCCTTGGCAATAGTAATCTGAGACAGAATGATACTTATAATGGTAAAAGGTACTAGTTGTCGTTAATGAAGTTCTACAGTATATTACCTCTATCGTAGTATCTGTTTGGACTCCTATCATTTTAATAACTCAAACATGTGTTTGTCCGTACCTCAATAGGCTTTGGAAACCAACATCAGTAAAGTCTCTATGTGCTTGGCGTGGAGGTAACGCTGCTTCTGTATTTAAACAAGAGGTATTTAAGGATTTATCTGAATATGGTAGGAATTCTTCTCTTGATAAAGCTGGATGTTCTATCTAGTCTTCTTTAAAAAGAATTTTAACGACAACTACCAAACAACAAGTGATGATGCAGCTATGTAGTAAGAGATAACTGAGAGTTGGTGCCTGAGGTAATGACAACTTGCACTGTCACATTTCTTTATATACACCTTCATAGTTTTTGACACTAGATAAATCCAGTTCATGCGGTAAATGAGAGAGAGCATCGGGTTGATTTTAAGTAATGTATACGGTCCTGTTAACTGAAGCTGACGAGACGCAGTATTCTATAAGCTTCGAGAAAAAATCTTAGTGTATTTGAAGAGCACTTTGCACCTTTGAAATTTAGGATCATGCTCTAGAAATGATCTGCACAAACGCACATAAGAGGCGAAGTGGTGGAATGCATTTACCATTTCATGTAAGTGATGATTTGAACCAGCTGTAGTACGGTCTGAAAATCGAAACTCACTCAGCAGCCTTATGCACATTCGTGCAGCAGGCAATGAGCCACACCTACTGCGAAGGTTTGTGATACCTCGGTAGTTTGAGGTGGGTTCGAAACTGCGATACACTGGCTAGAAATCAAGTGTCTAGATTCAAAATCCATAGCTACACACCATAGCAGGATAGTTGATAATGAAGTTTCATTTTGGATATAAAATACCTATATAACGTTTGTCAAAACATGTCACTTGTTGTTCCAGCAAGGAAGTCGATTATACATTGAAGGACGAAAATACTAAACCATATTCCGCTGTATCTCATTGTACGGCCGCAGCGGTGATTGAGCAGGTTCTCAGTTTTCATTATAAATATTTTCGGGGTGTCGCTTGAGTGGGGTGAAACCACCGTGTATGTTAGGTTGAGGTTAGACAAGGAATGTAAGTCAGTCATTGAGGTTGTACACCTGAAACGATTGAGATGAAGTAAACATTTTTTATGCATGATGCAGTCTGCATCAACGCGCCACGCTAACCAAAACAGAATCAAGTTGGCTGCAACAAAATTTGGCAGCAGTCCATTAAAGGTTTGACGGTTAAACTGTGTAAAGAACTATAGACTGTCTGGATGAGGTCCACAAAATTGCAGGAGTCAATGGTAGAAAATTCTCGCTAATGTGGCTCAAATTCCGTCACAATGGTGCACAGGTATACACTCTTAGTCATTTCAAATAGGTAAGCATTTTCACTAAGCTTTATTTATTTATTTCCGCTTCACCAAAACAACTTTTACTTCAGTAGTTCTTTCCTCATTCACTTCCTTTCTCCATGCTGTTGTGAACTTTGGTAACTTGAACTGATAAGCTTTTCAGCAAGTTTCAACACAGATTTATCCATCTGTATGTCCGTCTAGAAAGTAAGGTCTGATAGCTCCCAAAAACTCAAAAATAAAAGATTCGGATGGGAAAGAATATGACTAGATCAGTAGTTTTACAAAATCTAGAGCACTGACCTATTTTCAATCATTTAAAATCACTGAAGCAAACATGAAGATCGGTAACCTAAGGAAATGAGTCGTATCATGTAAGGCCTACCAGCATTATTTAGGCTCTCCAACCTCGGAAAACTAAGCGCGATCTGAGCTCCTTTCCAATGCCTGTAAAAAGCATGTCGTGAATATCGAGATACCATCATATTACTAAGGCTTGGCACCGAAATATGCTTGAGTGTTTTAAACTTGGAAAATCGATGCACAAATAACCGAGAGTAGCAACTGCCTTAAAATCAAAAGAGGCAACTTTTCAACCTCCAAAAGAAATAAAAGCATGATTCAATAAATACCTATTTTGTCTCTATGCACGGAGAAACTTCTCTAGTTGTGAAAAAGGCAAAAACTTCAGATATTTATCATCAACAGATAGTGTTTTGACTGCGATACAATCAATATACACAAACTTTTGAATGCTCTTGTGGTTTAATTGCTTTTCGAGCTTGAGTTTTCTTGGACATTGGTTTCTTAACAGTTGTCCAACCACACAGACCCATCGATGGCTGTGCACATAAAAACTCATATTGGATAGTAATGGAAATACAAAAACACGTTCTTATCGTATGCTAGAATTTGAAAAAAATGAGCAAAGGGCACATCGTGAATGATGTTGAGATGTAATTGAGTTAATGCTGCATTCGTCTGAACAGTTTTCTTTGTAAATCTTCAAAACGCAAGACTAAATCGTTAAGCAAAACTTAAAAAATGCATGCTACTTGCACAAAGATATTTTATATAACTGAAACATGTAATGGTTTACCTGCAGCTGTTAACTTTCCCAAATGCCTCAAAAACAGTTTGAATATCGGATTCAGTTAGTTCTGGATGTACTGAAGCAATATACACACGAGGTTTAGTGCTGGCTTCTGCGCGCAATTCAGCCTCCAGAGCAGCAGTCTGAGGGGCATTACTCGGTCGACCAACCTGCAGTGAGCATACCAAAAGCCATTAGATACTCAAAATGACAAAAAAATTTTATAGAAAAACAATCGATTCTTTACCAGTGAGTGGACGTCATACTTCGAGGACCCACAGACACCAAAGCGTGTGATGTGAAACGGTGGTTATGCTGTGTAGGCTAATATGGAGTGGTGGCAACTAAACCTACATTTTTAAGAAGTTAATGAAAAATTACAGACAGCAAGAATTGGTTGACTGTTAGGACATTAGAACAAATCAGTATTCGATTACCACCAATGGAATTCGAGATAATCTGCCGAGGGAAAATAATTATTTTAACACTCGATTTGCTTTATGCATGTGTACGGAAGCGCAGACAGCTATCACTTGAGAAATGCATACAGATAAAACTACCTCGTCAGTTCATAAACGTCTTACAGTGATAAGAAGTAATTCCATGTATAAAACAATATTTGTGACCATATTCACACAGTGATAATGTATTAACCTAAAGGGGAAATAATATTCAAGAAAGTATCTTTTGTGTCGCCCAAAATTTGAATAAGACTTCAAAACATATGGCTTGTGTTCATTATAAATCTTAGAGAAGTCGAAAATATATACAGGCTTTGATGTGATGAGTAATGATTTACTTTAGCTGTAATGAGGGTAACTAGCTGTAGGGAAAACCAACTTTGTAAACGACTTGACGAAAATCACCAAAAGGCTACCAATCGCACATTTACGGCTGTTCTCAAGAAACTTCGTGACAACTCATCGATTGAAAGTTCCAATTTATCAAGGTAATACTGGTATATGTAAACGACATTTTTCTGGGTGATTAAATCAGAAACAACTCCCTGAACACAGTCATTCAAGAGATTCTGAACTGCAAAGCATGAAAACTCTCTCCCAGGTGCTCATAAATAAGCTATTTCTTGGTGGTTTAGAAATATTTCTATTCAACAACTTTATCACCAAGCTCTGGTCATATTAAGGAACGTTAAAACGTTAGACAACTGCACTAAACATTTTCTTAGTTGATACATAAATGATACATTCGGCGATCAGAGATTGGTACACAAAATATAGTCATGAGTAAAAAGGCAGAATCGAGCTGACTAGGTGAAATATGCATGAAGCGCTTTCAAAGCGCTCAGTACTTCTAAGTAAAAGAAATCTCTTTTCTTCACCGTGTTGCAGAATCTTGAAAATCTGCTCCGAAATTAAAACCAGAATAACACGGCTCATTAATGCATATCCGAGAAGATTCATTGGTAAAAAATAGTAAAAAATTATTTTTGACAAATTCACATTTTCTACGGTAATTTTAGCTATGAATTCATGACATAAGAAGGATGCCATAGACTAAGCATTACAGAGCTGTCTACCAAAGTGCGTCGAAAATACTTTCTATTCCTCTAACTACAGTTGGTTTTCTCCAGAGATCATTTAATTCGATAATATGTCAAAGACAGATTGCCATATGTTTTGGCTGTGTTGCGTTTTTAGAGCTGACAGAACGCGACAAAGGACGTAGGTACAAAGCACTTACCACACTTTAAACCCAGATAGCTAGCCGACTTGAGAAGACTGTATGCTGCTCGAACAAGACGACGACGCTCGCGTACTTACGGTCGACATTTTCCTGAATGTGGTAGGTCGACAACATAATAAACTTTCTTTAGGTGTCTTCAGAATGTTATCCATAACAAGCTTGTGTGGCACGTTACTCGGTGCCGTTTTGTACCAAATTATTTTGCATTTCAAATGTGTGTGGCGAAATGATGGCACACTTGGAGAAGGATAACGAAAACAAGTAACTCCCTCTAGAGATGCGTTTAGTTTAGATAAACAGAGTTGGTATCCTTTCAACCCACTCATTCAACTATACAGGGTTTTAAGATGCTACTCAACGGTCCAGGCACTTCTACAGTTGAAATTTTTTAGAGCTCAGTCCCGAGAAAGACAGCACTAAGATACTTGTCACCCACTCATTTCAAGTCTATTATTCCTAATTAAAACTAAAAATCATTGTAAGTGAACCCCGTATATGCATTTACGAAATAGACTACGAGCCACAATTATTGTACCAACCCACATGACATTATCTGTTTGAGCATACAGAAATATAGTGTAGTAAAAGCTGGGATTCAACAAGAATGCACAAGTAAGTGCACTACTGAATGAGCTGCACATTGCCAGGGTTGATGACATTGTTTGGTTACCTGAAGCCTTGTGGATGGAACGGGCTTTAAACCAGCCACCCACTGATCTTAACTAACTTCTTAAATCAATGAGCAACACATCAACAAGATTACTATTATAGTTTTGGACGTTTTAGATGTCAATTGTGGGAGATTTTTCTTTTATTTCCACACATTAAATGATCTTGATTGAAAATAGATACAACAATAGTCTTATTCCTAAGTGACAGAACAAAAAACAGTGAAAACGATGTAAACAAGTTGATAGAGAGAGATGATACGTGAAAGAGAATGGGACATGGGGTAGGTACTACATAGCAGTCAGTTGTAAATACTTGTAAGACTAATAATTGGGAAAAGAGCGATGATAAATGAGGACACCGGAGAGAAATACAGATGCTTGAGTCTCTAAAAAAGTTAGCAAGGAAGTCAGACTCCTTCATGAACAGTTTAAATAGCTTATGAGCAACTTTTAGATGACCTGCCAAACGGCTTTAACATACATAGCTTCTACAACTATTGATGAAGTTAGAAAGACCTTTAAATCTGAAAAGAAGTAAAGCAGCCAGACCAAGCGATTCGCTTCCACAAATCTTTGAGTGTGGCAGTCGAAAAATACTGGTTAGACTGAGATGCCAATTTAGGAAAGAGATACAAAAATAATGCTATAATCGAAACATACTCAGCAGCCTCAAGTACTTTTGTGCAATCCTACAATGTTACACTTATCGTGAGTTAGTGATACTACCTGGCTGCCCAAACCTCAGTAGGTGGGGCAGCGTCCGAACCGGTGACCCACTGGTTGGAAGTCAACAGCCCAAACTAATGAGCTACAGCTCCACAAAATATACGGGGTGGAGCGCAGGCATATAGCATACATCTCTCACTGTAGGGGGCACACAACAATATCATGTACAATTCCATCACCCTTAGTAGATCTGACAACATAATGTAATCAGAACATCAACAGAGTCTGTGATAGGCTAGGTACCATTAGGTAACATATTCGAGAGCATAATGATGTCTCAGGCCTAGGTGATGATGAATGGACCAGAACTTTACATCTGGTGAGGTTTTGGAGCATGATTATAAGGGTTCTTAACATTTGTGGTACTCTGTTTCACTAACATAGAGACCTCGCCACGGTGTCGAACGAATCTTATGAGCCATCAATTTGGCTTTGTTTGAAACTGTACGATTGTTCAACAGCTTATGCAAAGCTGTCACCTCGATTGGTGACAGCAGGTAGTGCCCGGCATGGATATACCCTGTCAGTACAACTTTTTGACTTTCTTATGTTTACTGATAGAGATAACTATCTCCAGCTTCTCACGAATTGACTTGGAAAGACTTTGACTGACGTGGAGTAAACAGACGACACAGTCAAATTAGACGAAGACGGTAACAAGTCAGTCTTTGCAGCAACTGGCATATTTTAAGTGAGATATTTTTTTCAGAATACACACCTGATACAAAAACACCAAGTGATGAGGTCGCTAAATTGTCCTGCATAGACTTCTAGTTCAGGGATAAAAATTAAATGGCTTAGTATGTTGAACACTACCCTTTTGCGAAGCTGTATCAATGCTAATCAGCCAATTGCTGATGAAATTTCACTTAGTGAGTTATTCGACCACCTATCACTACCCATTATGGATAATGAGCCACAATTTGTGTTGTCCTGTTACATGATCGTCAGAGCTGACAGACATGATTTGGTGGTATGGTCTTCATCCAGTTAAACTATATCGCGATTCATGATGAGGAGGGGTGTGGATCCTAGCCAAGAATGGTGCATTTGTCGATGAGGTTGTGAATCTACAACGACTTACATTGTTGGGACATCAGTTACGCGTGCCGACTTGCCTTTTTAGACCCATAATATTAGCTTAATCTGGACAAAACTGGAAGGGATTTATTGATATTCAAACATGAAAGCGGAGCCAATTCACAGAAACAGACGGTTGGCAGAAACTGTAAAGCGCAGGTTAAGCGGGTGAATTCCTCAAGATGTCGTGAAACCGAAAGTCGGAGACTACCAGCATCTTGGCCTACAAGTGTATTCGCCCTCGGATTTTCCTAAACATCCTGAGTATCGTACTGCTTTTCTTTTACTGACTTATCTTCTTTACATATTGTTGGTTTTGAGATGCCATTTTACTTGTTTTGATTTTTTGTATTGTTGCGACCTGGCAAGCCGAACTGTTACACTTTTGTGAGATCTACGTTAGGCTCTGTTCATCTATTGTGTTTTTGCATGTAGTTGGTTGAAACATCTCAGATTTGTCACCGATGGGTATTTTTGTTGTTGCTTCGACTAAAACAATCCTAGTCCAAGCCCAAAACAACTCTCATTAATGATGGCTGCCAGCTCTAGATTTGACCACTGCTGTTTTCGCAGGACTACTCGTGTACGATACCAATGCCATGTAAGCAGCCTTAAGGATTGGTAGCTTATGATTCGACATGGAGTGCTTTACTTAAACAACGTAAGATATCTCGAAACAATTACCATTGTTGACCAGACACGCTCCATGTAATCCATAGCCTTCCAAACCATACTTTTTTAGATGTTAGAGCAGGTTGAAAACGTGTAGATGTGGTCATTCTATAGTGTCACGAGACAAAAAATACTTGTGTTTGATCAGCATCCGTTGATGCATCATGAATCCTTAAGTGGATACAAAAGACTACATGACCTAGTGGCCAAGAAACAAAACTAGCGACGACCATTTTGTAGCTTCCCTGAATATTCTACTTTTGAATAGTGACGAAACTAATGGATGCTTCTTCAACAGTTATCATTGTTTCTTTTCTAGTGATTGTTGTTCGACATCTCTTTTATCATAATAGTGTGTGGTATGACTTTTGTTGCCCATATTTTTACCGCATTTGCACCAAAACAATGAGTGAGTAGCATTCTCTACAATGCAATGGCAGACATCAAACTGCTACCAAGCACAGCTAGCGATTCCTCGTTAGATAGTCTTTATGTAAAACTTGTGGGATTTGGTGTGCATATTTTGTACTCACCTTCTACCACACGGAACAACCATCAGAAACTGCGTTTGCTAACGTTGTCTGCCACTAAGTCAGAAATCATTCTTGTAAGCGAAACCAATAATATGCATTTTACCATAGCTTAACAGATTATGTTGGGTCTGACTATGGTGAAAAAAAGTTGCAACAGTTAGAAAGTGAAGAAATTATGACCTAATTAGGAAGACAAATGACTATGATACGCTGAAGCGTGTCGAGAGCGTAAACACTGCAGAAGCAGAAGCTTGCATACATCCAAACTACTGGAAATTGATCTTAGCATAATGCCTGAATCCCAGCTGAAACCGACAACTCTTCTGCTGAAAGTTGATTATGCCGGAAGCAAACTACGACTCCCTAGAAGTATGGAAAAGTTGTCACGCTTTAACCTGCCACTTGGAAGTCGTCGTTTGCCAATCTGAATGCATGCCTGAAAAACTGATCTTAATAGCACCCACCTTCGGAGGTTGTTTCCGGTGGAGTCTATCAACAGCACTACCTACTTCTATTTTGTTAGAAAGTTCCAACAGCTAGCAAAGTAGACAAGACAATGTCTTTTACTGAAGTTCATGTTAGCAAAGGAAAAATTTATTCTACAGTAAATTGTAAACGATCACCATCATCATCTTGTAGCTGTAATTTTGATTACACCTGTTTGACTCAGACTGCCAACCTGTCTACGAAAGCGGTAGCTACAGACGTTTATTAACGTACGGCACTGAAGCTTGCGTTACATTGGGTTTCAGTTGCCCAGAAGCATAATTTGCCTTCCAAGTGCTTAGTCACCAGAAACACGCATCCACGGTTATTTACTGAGTCACCGGCTGTGACATCAGGTGCAGAGAAATACTGGCATGTAATGGTGTACAGAAAATTATCAACTAATTACAGCAATGACAAACAGCAAAAGGGAAGATTATTACTGCACTGAGCATATCTATGGTAATCAAAGTAAATTTTCCACTACATCAATCATTTTCTTGTGATCAACTTACTGTAGTTCATTTTATTTATTCTTCATCACACCAACCTTTTGATTCAAATGGAATAATGCAACAATAAGTTTAGCACAGTACTTCATATGCAAAAGAGAACTCAGGTACGACTTGTACAGTGTTACTCTGGTAAACCAAGTTGGCAGTTGGACTTGTCCTGAGACATTTGAGTTGTTGGGACCAGGCATTGTTATGTCACCAGACTCGTTCAGAATATTTGAAAAAAGTTAAGTGACAGAAGCGAACAGAAAGAAAGGAGGAACGTGAGCAACAACTAGACGACTGAATTGGTAGAAAATAATGTGTAGACCCAAATTTGACGAGAGCATGAAAGAGATAAAAGGGTAAGAAAGAAGAAAGGAAAACAGAATAGACGAGTGTGTATGTCATAGCAGTAATAAACTAACAGCCATATTAGTAAAATTAGTTATAACAATCAAGAAATATCGGACAGCCAGTAACAATCACATCCGATACGCTAACTAGTGGGACGACCATGTGATTCACTTAGAGACTATTCGGGTATTAGCCTGAAAGTTTTTATGCATATCTTAGTTTGAGCAAAAGTACACTTCCTTACTGGATCTCAATTAATAGTTAATAGCCAGATAATACCTAACTGAACCACACTAAAAAAATCAATGATGACAAGAACAAACGTCAATTTCTTGATTTTAAGCATTCATTCACTGACTACATGTGAAAAATGAAAGATAGGCTGCGTAGTTTTATAGTTGTAGCAGGTAAATTCAACTTGCCAACAGAAGGTACATGGCACACAATTGCGAACTTAGACCTATGAATTAGCTTCTACCGACCCAGGTGGTCGTACTAATCCTCGTGAAATGATTTAACAAACCATGACATCCCATTTAGTTATATACAAACGCTGAAGGTGGGCATTGTGCATCTGCCCACTAGTGCCTCTTTTAAATAGCTGACGAGTGATCAGAAATTTCACTGTCGTAAAACCCTAGCCAAAAGCAGTCCATCCTTTGGTAAGGTCTCTATGCTGCATCTCGAGCAGTTAGAACACCTTGTTTACTGTCTAGAGTTGGTTAAACTACTGCCAGAATGAAGAACCCTGAGGTTTAGGTGGAGCCTGTGCTAATCGATCGATAGCTTTTCCTTTGAAGGAATCATCGTTCATTACCAGAATATCTACTAATGTTCCCCGATTAGTTTTTAACTACTAAATTACTTTTAGTCCAATGATGTCACCAATACAAAATTAGCGACCAAATAACAAGGTTAATTCTTTGCGAAGTACAAAAATCGGATATATTGTGTCATTTATGTTTTGAATTGCCTTGTTAACTGCAACTAAGAATGACCACCAGACATCGTGAAATGCTACTTGAAATACACTTTTTTGAGTGCCAATAAGCACAAAAGCTGAGTCTATGACCTTGCGTCGGTCTACCACTGACACTTACCGGCAAGTGGTTCACTGCAATATAGTTGCAATCTGTTTCATTCCAAACTTTGTTAACAGATCTGAAACAGCATTAAAGCATTGTCACATCGGTCAACGTATATTCATGAAGAAAACTAGTTACTCGCAGAACAGTATCAAACCTACATAACCTTAACAAGTAATTCGAACAGGTTCAATAGAGACGACACAATCCATTTCTATAATGAAACCCCAAGTTAAGCATCAGCCAACAGCGGTAAAAGTTGCGATTTGGGAAAGATGCTTTGCGGCACTGAAACCCACTTGTGTAGGCTTAGGTTTGAAAAAAAGTGTAATTTTCACTTAACCAGCGAGTCAAAATGTGAGTTGGGGTTCAGTTGGATAGTTATGACAGGTAAACAATTTGACCTACGGTACCGATTTTAATTCCACTATCACAGCAGGTCTTATTACTTTCCACAACCTAAAACCATGCAGATCACCCAGCTAAACTTTCCTACTTTGAAGCATCATAGAAAACAAGGGATTTTAAAATAAGATATTGAAACCAGAAGCTTCAGTGAGTTAGGGAAAAGAAAAGGTATTCATGATCCCGAACCGATGCAGGTGCAGGGACTTGACTACATAAGCAACAGGTTTGGTAAGTCTGAAACTCACTTAGGTAGTATTTTTAACAGGCAATAACTGGGAAACACAAGAATAACAGGAAACTGGTTTCATGGGCGTTCCTATACACGAATATACTTGGAGAAAACATATTCTAACCCATCAAAAAACTTCAGGTAACATTCAGGCATACCACTGTCCAAGTATTGCCGTAATATGATAAAGAAAAATCAAATTTACTGAAGAACTCATACCTTGAGGTTTCTACCAGCTAATGTGTAACCGTTCATCTGTTCCAAAGCCAAAGATGCAGCTTCTGGGACTTCAAACTCCACGAATGCAAACCCTTTGTGTTTCTGGAGAACTGTATCCCAGCTCAGAGCGACAGACTTGATTGGTCCAAACGGAGAAAAAGTCTTACGAATTTCTTCCTCCCCAATTTCAAAACTAATTGACCCAACATATATTCGACTCAGCAAGATGAGGGCTTGATTTCTCTTGATTGTGTTTAGGTCCTTGGAAGTGTAAGATCTCAGTAACCACATACCTGCTGATGTAACTGCGCTGCTTGTTTGCTGAGTGCATTTTGAATACTCTGCTCTAAAGCATACTTCTTTGCCCTCTCAATGGCAAAACGCTGGTCATCAGTAAGGGTCACCAATGTAAAAGGTTCTTGTCTTGTGTTGCTACCGAAAAGGATGGCATCTCCCATAGGAATGGGATTGAGTATGCCTCCAGACTTGCGCAAAGCAGCAGCCACACTTAAATCAAGATTTATCATCATCATGGAGAACAGAAATACAGACTTCGCGGTCTTAAGTGGTCAAGCTGAAGCTGTTAAGTTTCAATACCTTCTGTTCAACAAACAACGTTTTACGTATTTTTCAAGTAGTAAATGACAAAGAATGTGCTAGGTGCATACAGCAACAGGAGAAATTTGCTTCCAGTTTAAAGTTTCAGTTTGACTACAATCCACCTTATCCTTAGTAGGCATCCTCCAGGGAAGCATTTACCACTAGTTCAGGTAGTAGGTTCGTCAGAACAATCCTGAAATAATATCTCAGTTCAACTGGTAGGTTGTTTGACCACAGCTTTAGTGTTGAACTGATGTGCAGTAAGTAACAGGACGAGCAAAGAATTAGAGAAACTAGCATCCAAATCATCATCAAAAATACACCAAAATTATGTTCCTCTCTTTCATACTGTATGATAACGGGAAAAGGCCCAAACTTCCTGACCGCTTTCCACAGAGAATATGCAGAAGCACTGTCACCAACCTGTGACATCCCTTTAGTATACGCTCCAAAGTCTCTCCTTTTTTACCGAATCAAATCAGGCTTACAAACGTGTTTGTTTCTAACCCGAGAAGTCTGTCCCGCTACGCTACTTCGTTTCGGCAGGCTAAAGCGGGAGTCTCTCAACTACTACGTACTAACGGACCGACACTGAAGCAGCTGAGCTCCTAAGTGACCAGTATTTACGAATCTTTTCATCGTCATCTACCTGCGCAGGAGTTTACGAATACCCCAATAATGAAGTAGGGCAGACTGTTACAGTGGGCACCTGGGAGAGTGTGAGCTTACCGATGAGCCCAAGAATCCGGAAGGAAAGAGAGGAAGAGAAAAGCTCGGGCCGACAACCGGCTAAGTACTTAAAGTGTACCTACACTTTTTAATAAAACATAATTGACAAACGCCGGAGACTGATAACCAAGAGGTGGGGTTGCTTCGAAGTTGAAACCGAAAGGTGGATGAGTAGAGTTTCAGATGCGTTATAGTTAACAAGATTAGAGAGTAGCCGGTTTAGCTTTTTTGGAGTCATATTGCGCTGGCCAATCAACGAAACTCAACAGTTTATCTCACTCGAGCGAATTCGTAATCACATACTGTAACAGGTGCGCTATGTTTAGGAGGGCTTGGGTCACGGATGCTTTTCCGATCAGTTGATGTTATGAAGGGTGAAGTAGCTGGGAGAACTGTAGATACAAATAGTTTTTGGTTTTTCCGTGACATATAAGCTGCTGTCGCTGATGGACATTCTTTGTTGTGGTGAAAGTGGAGCAAACTGCCGATAATTCCGACGCCATGTATGTAAATTTTGAGTTTTATGTAAGCAAGAAATGTTGAGTATGTTAATAAGACAAGTGTTTGATTTTTTTTAATAGAAATACTGTTTGGAGATTTAATCGCCAGCGAGCAATGAAAATTCGTTTTTTGAAAGCGAAGTGTAACCTGGGGAATGTTTTTCCTGTTGACTCCTAAGTGTATTTGTCCGAGTATGAATGTGAAACGGCTGTGCTATATTATAATCTACTTTAGCTAAGTATATGTTGGGAATTTGTTTGTGGCGAAACATTCCGAGGAAGGTGCCGCCGTCTGCATTTTAATGGTAAGTGAAATTGTTGCTACGACACAGATATCGTTCCCGAAGTACTGTAAGCGGTAACAAGTGTGGGACAACAGGGCTACTGAGAACAGATGTGTAGACATTCCCCGTAAAAATGGAATGCGTTAGTATACCCGACAATCCTAAACAAATTATTATTATAAATTTCTTCTTACTGATGACTGGATAAGTAGTCTGGGGTTTGGATAGAACACAAGGATATGGACGCCGTCTTCTAGGAGAGGTTTGCGTAAGGCAGGTGATCATTCTGTTGCAGGACAATAGACTTTCGAACCTAACCTTGATACCGGTATTTATGCAACTCCCCGTAATTGTAAGAAACGTTGCTTTCATGGAAATAAATTTCTAGATAATTTTCCGATAAATCTTTGAGTGTCGTCCGGCTGTATGCGTAAAGTACGACAAGTGTAAATGGTAAAAAATCTACCCTCTGCCTATCCTTATATCTTCGATATCGGCCTGTACCTCAGGAAAGTGAAAGAAATGTTCGCCTGATCTTTGGGAAGACTAAGAGAAAAATATCGTGATGTGTAAGGTGAGATGCTGCGCAAGCGAGGCAAATGCCAGGGGCTTCTATGAAACTAGTATTTCCCACGATGTGACGATTTCAGAAGTGACGTTATAGTTACTTAACTCAGAAAGCACATCTACTGTGCTGGGTCTGGCGAAACTACTTGACTGATAGGACTTCCATTGAAGGGCGCGCCTCGAAGGCACAACGCACCCGCTGTTAGTTAAGTATCTAAACCCATCAGTCGTAAAACAGAAATACAGGTCCTCTAATTTCTACTACTATTGTAGGAAACAAGAAGGCTGAGACGCAGGGAGGAACGTTTATTATTGATATCTTATACAGTAGCCATCAAATATTGTACACCTTCCTCTAAGACAGTCATTTGCACGATACATTTCATTTCCTCTTCTGCTTCCATATCGATCTGCTCTTACTGCGCCCACGTGGTTTTTTACTTCCCTCTGGGCAGAATCTTTACCCATCGCTGGTAATTCCCCATGATTTCTGCTACCCCCTCAGAACATACTGCTTGTATCCATTCTGATCTGCAGTGCCTGCTGCAGTTGCCTCCCCGCCAAGGTTTCGAGTTTGCAGCTGTGTTGATCATCCCGGTGCTGTCTTTTTTTGATGTTCACGCAACGTTTCCTCTTTTTCACACCGCCCCCATTTTCGAAGTAGAGTGGCGTTTGCCCTTTTCTCTTTGTCCCCTTTTTGATTGCACAAACCCGACTGCGCCTCCGGGTAATGATTTATGGTCGTTCCCACTTCGGGAGCAGTTTTCCTCTACCATATTCGCCTCCTCCGGTGCATCTTCGTTCTCTGCGTTTCGCTTGATCCCCAACCTCAAGAGCTTTCCATCTACTTCCTCCTCTTTTCTTGGATATTTCAGCATCAGCTTTCGGTGTTTGTTCTACGTTTCTGATTGTCCGTTTCCGCTCCTCTCTCAATCTTGTTAACTTCCACGGTTGTCGTTGCATCCAGGTCTTACTTGTACTGGGAACCGTGGTTTCCCGTCATACATCAACTGGAATGATGATGTCTTGATTGTTCCCTGCACCGAAGCACGGTGAGCTGATAATATTAACGGTACTTCTGCCTCCCAAGTCCCTTCCCTCAAAACCAGCGGCTCCTTATTCCGTTCCGTCAGACTGTTAGTCTGCATGTGGTACGACGTCGTTCCTACCCTCTTGATATCAAGCTGCCCTAGGCAGGAGTTGAATTCTTCACTTTCAAAATAGGGACCGTGGTCGGTCCACATCATTTTCGGTACACCGTGATCCGTGACAGTATGCCGCATCACCGCTACGGTCACTGCCATCGCGCGTCGATCAGGAATCGCGACAGCATCTACCCATCGTGTACCATACTCCGTCATAACCGATGGGTGTTGGTTGCCGCCAGATGCCTGCGGAAAAGGTCCCATTACGTCCATAGAACACAGGTAACCAACTTCCCCATTGAAATCTACTGAAGCGGCGGCCGTACATACCGATCACTTTTCATCAGTTGACAATGAGGACGACCCAGCGCTTGTTTGTTAACATCTGGCATACTTAGCCAGTACGCACTTAGCCCGAGAAGGGCGGCCGTCTATGAGACACCTATGAGAACTAACCGGTAGAATTCTTGCATCATTTTGTCGCGAAAACATTTCGGAATCACCGCCGACCAGAGCCCGTCGTTTTCCCGTAAAGTGGGCATTCCATAGGTGCTCACCTGTAGGCCCTCTTACTGAGTCAACAACTTTCTCAACACTTTGTTTCCCACAGAACTGCTTGTCTCCGTCCTTTCAGTTATGGCTTTTATCACTTCTTCAAGTGTCGACCCCGACTTCTTAAGGTGAATAGGTTTCAATGGGTCGCGTTCCACTGCATGTACACCATATGCGGTCTCAGGTAGCTCGTTTTCTTTGTCTGGTCCTGATAAGTCTGCCAACCAGTTTTCCTCCCCTGCCACGTGACAGATCGAGAAATCGTACTCTTGCAGCCAGAACATCCAACGTGATGATTTTCTTCTGGAGTCTGTCGAGGACTTAAGCCACCGTAGGGATTTGTGATAAGTTTCAATATAGAACTGTTGACCAAGGAGGTACGATCTACATTTATCATGCGCCCAAAGTATCTCCAGACATCCCTTTCCAAACGTGGAATACTTCTGTTCCGCAGGTGTCAGGACACGGTTGGCATACTCCACTACTCTTCCAGTCTGTCTCAGGACTGCGCCTATTCCATAACCACTCGCAACGGTGGACAAACTAAACGCCTCCCTGGGTATTGGTAACTTAGGAGTTCCTTGATGTGGTGAAACGTTTATATATTCCTACTCTGTGCACGGAACTTCGGTTACCAAGTAACTTGTGTAGGGGCGCTGCCATGTCGTTGAAATGTTTAAGGAACCGACCATAGAAAGCTCCTCCACCCAAGAACTGTAGCAGTCCGCCCTTGGAATTCGGCACTGGAATAATTTTAACTGTCAGAATTTTCTCAGGTTGCGGTTTTATTTCACCGTTCCCAGCTTTATGTCCTGGAAAACTAACGCTCTTCTTGGCCACCTTGGATTTCGTTTTATTGATACGAGGTACAACCTCATCGTGTCCTAAAACAGCTTCCATGTGTTCAGGGTGTTCGGCTTCCATCTATCTGAACACCACTAGGTCCTCACCACACACCTCTACATTCCTTAACTGCCTCGACAACAACGTCAGTTACCGAGTGAATGTAAACAGCGTGCCTGCAAAACCAAATTTCATTCGCTTGAATTGGTGACGCTTCTTGCCCATAATAAATGCTGCTTTCTGTCGATCACTTTTTTACTTAGTGGCTGCCAGTAACATGAGCGGAGGTCTAGAACTGCGAATAGGTTTGCATTCTGTAGAAGATCTAATGTTTCAGCCACCGTGGGCATAGCA